ATACCACTCCGTCCCTCACGTCTCTTACTCTTTCGCAATGCGAAAGCACGCTAGAGCAACCGAATATATTTATACGCCCCCTCGGAGAGGCCAACGCACGTCTGCTTATTAAAACGTTTCCACCCTGAAGAGAGCAAGCGCGCGCGCGCGCGTTCGCTATCTGCTTTACACCGTGTATTCCTTTTATTGTTTGAGACATGGGAGAGACGCGGAAAGCCGTAAAAGAGAGACAGAGAGAAAGAGAGACAGGAGGGCACGAGTAAGCACGTGCATGCCTGCTGAGTAGTTGAGTACCTGCCGCTGGCCACATTCGCGGAATTAGACGCGCGAATGTGCACGGCTTAACTGCCGGGAGAGCGTGTTTTTGAGTTGGCGCTGATGCGCCACGAAGAGCGATAACAATGGGGGATACGATGGGGTGGGTAGGTCGGCTGGCTCGTTACCGTGGCTGCTGATGGCCCCTTTGTATCCATTTCTATGATACTCGGTTCGCCGCTCGCTCGTACTAGGATCACATCCTAACTGATTATGCGGCTTGTATGCGTCGCGTCGTTAGCTTTTTATCCGATTACGAATGTGATGTACGAGCATCCATTTGCGTATGTTCGCTATTACGATAGGATATTTAGCTATTCGAATTGTCATTAAACACGTAAGGATAGTTCTGAATATAGATTTGTTATATTCATAACGGATGAATCAATACTTCATTATTCACTTGGGATATGCAAGATACCTCGATCTTATACATTCGCTAAGTGCTATTTACACGAAAAGAATCAAATTTTGTTGAAGTGTCTCAAAATTTAACTAGATTCAGATCTGAAAATAATTTAATTTGGCCCGTCAAAATATATTTTCAGAACGTAGAACGCTTAAGTGTCGATGGCAACGCTGTAAACGTTTTAACATCATAACAATCAGTTTTTTTCTACATAATTATTTTTATGTTTCAAACAACATTATTTTTATATCTATACGTAGCGCGAATTGTGTGTATAATTAACAAAAACCTTCTTTTCACTTACCTTTATCTAAAGAATGTATCTTTATTTAATTATAAATCATCAAAAAGAACAATAAAAATTGGGTTATAATATTGGGGTGTCAGAATTCTACGCGAATAATTACATAAAAAAAACCCACTCGAGTAGAGTTAATGGATCCTTGCTTTCCTCTTGAAATAACATTTGCTGCTGGTAATCAATTTACTCACGATTATTTCCTTTTCGTGAATTATACCTTTATCAAGCTTATAACGTCTTGTTCGCCCGATAGAGATATTATGAATAAGAAGACGAATTAAATCTTGATCCTGACAAGTGCGTCACGATCGCGATTGATCGGTTCAGGCGAACGACCTTAACAGGCTGTTGTGTTAATTAATTCCCGCTGATCTCAATTAAAATATTAATTACGACGGAACAATGACTCGCCGATGAGGAACAGAGGGACGACTCATTTCTCCTCTCTCATCTTCGTTTATTCGTCGCTTCCCCATCTTCCTTCATCGATCGCGACGGAGCCAGAGAAATCGCCATTGCGATGCTATTACGATTACTCGGGTCTTATAAGCTTATCTGATAATCACGCCGTTATAGCTCATGGCACGTTGTGACTGTACCATCGCTGACTGGCTTCGTTTGTCTGATCGTTCACGGAGATCTCGCGCTATGAAGGGATGAGAATATTTACATACTTTCAGGTTTGAGATACGAGAGAACAAGTGTCCCTTGCCCCCAAATCTCATCGAAAATCGGTCGGGTTGTATCGCACGATCATTTAAAAATCAATCAGCGATGCACGCGACTCGAACAGCGAAATACTACACGTGAGTAGTCCGTGATTCTCAATATCGAGATCGAAATTCTTCCGAGTTTCTCTCTTCGAAATCTCTTTGGTTCTCGATGAAATGCCGATGAGTCCTCTTGTTCTTCGCTGCTTGCATAATTCTGCGACAATTTGCATATTAATCTCGTAATATATGAGGAAGAATTTTTCCCAGAGAATTGAATTATTACGCATTCTTATATACCGCTTTAATAATTAAAGGCAGTTTTTTTTTCTTTTTTTTTTTTTAAGTGCACTTATATATTCCGCGTAAGGAAGATAAGAAAGCGTACGTCATTCAGGTGTATACTTATTATTAATAATAATAAGACAGTCGTGTGTTGTAACTGAAAGAATTAAATGAAAAATTAATTCGGTCGCATCTGTTCACCGCCGCCACAAGCAATAATGTCTTTTTATCGCAAGTACAATTGTTGCATCGCCGATGAAGCATGGCCTCTGTGATACATGCATATAACAAAGTCCGTCCTATCAGCATGCATCTGTGCATTCGCACGCGTACAAACGTGTTTGCGAGAGCACACGTAGTGCACGAAAGCTGGGAACGCACCTCGATGCACCACCTGACGCGACGGGGGGTCAGTGGTTATCATTCCGAGACTGATTCCTAGGCGACGAGCTTTCCGGAAGAGGATTCCGCTCCGCTCTTCAAAATCAGAACATTCTCTCGCGCAACACGAGAGTGTTCTTCTTTTTGGCAAGAGGGAGAATTGGATTAATGTCGAAACGTTAGATATACTCGTCTCGCTTCTATCTAGGCGCGTGTTCCTTCGAGTCGTGATTTCACTTAAGGACACGCGCGATGTCGATGGATAAAGATATATCACGGCCGGCTAATGATGACTCGGCCGAAGTGCAAACGCGCATCTCCCGCCGGTCTGTGGAAGTAATTTATGAAGAGTCACGATTGATTCGGGGTCGAGTGTCGATATGAGCACCTCGAACAACCGACGTGGCCGTGACGAGTGAAAATACAAACAGTTTAACAGGGATGAGTAGTCGTTTAGCGTTCCTGAGATCAGGAGAGAACCCTCACCCTCCTCCTTCCTCCACCGCCACCACCTTCGTCGCGTCATCCTACCGTACCACGTGCATATACCGTCGTAAGTATAACGTGGAACGCTACACGGCGATCGGCGCTGTATACGAGCGCGATTAAACGACGAGTTTTTCGTTAAAAGATTTATTCACGTATTTGTATGTGTGATTTAAGGATGTTATCAAGATCTGTTAAGGATATTATTAAGATTAAGATTTATCGCGGCGGCAGAATGTGAATATGAAAGTACAAATAAAATTACGTAATCATATAGTGCGTGGATTCTCTGTTAAAAGCAGAATTTTGTAAGCGATACGAGGCACCGTGCGCGACAGGAATTTTATCGAAAGTACATCTTAAGTGCTTTTATGCCCTATCGATAATCGCGATCGTGAATCGTTCGTGCGTTTGCCAAGCCGTCCGTCCGGGGAACGGCAGTTTCCGAAATGGGACGTCTGTTCTTGGACGACGGGCGACGACCGGGGGGGGTTGCGTAAGTGCGTGCGGCCCAGCCAGCCTCCCAAGACCTTGCGCCGGAGAATCAATTATTGGATCCGTATATCAATCTGATGGCCGTAGCGCGCGTCCCGTGCTCGGTGGCCTCCCGCTGCGCTCACGCATTTTCTTCCCCCTGTCGTCCCCATGCCACTTCGTGTGTTCGCCATCGTGGCACGCACGCGGTATAGCGAGAGTGTACTTTCCCTCCCCCCTCTCTCTCTCTCTCTCTCTCTCTCTCTCTCTCTCTCTCTCTCTCTCTCTCTTTTTGCACCAACGCCAACGCCATATACAGCGGACCGGTTCCCTGCCGCTGCGTGCCCCGTGAGCGTCCGCGTGACGTGGCGCGTAATGTTGATTTTTCAAGGGATCAACTCTAACCCCCTCTTTCCTCTCTTCTTTTCTCCGCAGGGCGCCGACGAGGATGACAGCGCTTCCGTTGCCTCGGTAAGTTCATCACCCACCGCAGATCGCGATTATTGCGCGCGCCAATCCGACGAGAGCGACGCAGCACGGGCCGTAATTCTCTTCCCTGGTCGGACGTGCATCGTCGGTCCCTGATAAATGCACGCCAGATCGTGGCCGGGGATCTTAATTAAAATTCGCCCGCTCTCGATCGAACGGCCCGCTCGATCTTCCGCGTGCTGCTGATCGATCCCGGCGATCCCTCGCACCCATTAATCGCTAATAATCACCACGATCGATGCTTTCCCGAAGCAACTGGATGGAAAATCGCGGGAGTGGCTGGTCAGAGCATCGCAGGGGGACTATCAAGCGCTGGCGAAGCTTGCAGCGGAGGAACCTCGTCTCACCAGGCTCAAGGTAGGATAAACTATGTAAACATGTATCATTTTATTCTGCCACGCGCGAGATTTATAAGTTATAAATCATATCGTTAGCATTCTACGCAACTGACACTCACTCAAAAAAGTGATCTTTATAGTTATAGCGAAAATTATCTAAGTATAAAAAGTAGCTCTAAAATAGATAAATTTCTAACAAGTGATTTCTACGATATTGAATATGTATTGCATCCAATCATACAGATGACAGAGAATTTAGATTTGTGCTATAAATTCTGTACATAATTTTCTGTCAGATACAAAAAACAGCTATAATTCTAGCTGAAGCAACAAAATATTTTGTTGTGTGCTGCTTTATTTATTTTGCGCACAAGTATAGTTTCAGAATGATTGTACTGTCTTTTTCAGAATTTGCGTTAATTTTGCTTTGTAAGTTTGTAAGGAACTGTAATAACTTCACTGAGGAAAATTTTTGGTAAAATATGAACGAAACAAAAAATTCTGATCAATCAGAATTTTGGTTATTTCAATTAGAATTTTAGTAGATTCAATTAAAAAATTTTAATTTGTCCATTTTCAATCAATGTAAGATTCTTTCCAGTGTACACACAGAAAATAAACGCAATAGTGTCGGAACATTGTGTATAAAAAATGTAAATAAGACACGCGGTACACGTAGACACATACATACATATATACATCAGGGTTGGACATGTATCAAACTCAACGTATTATACGTGGTTTCATATATGGATGAAATATGTGTATAACACATCGCAGGTTTCAACCATCTAGTAAAATGGCACTGTTTGCACTTAGCACTATCAATCACAAACTACATTCCACTAAATAAAAATAAAACTATAAAATAAGTAGGTGTATCGGTATATTAAGCAGAGTATACTAAACAGTGTATACTCAGCGATGTGACAGATTTTCTAACAATAGTTAGGAAATAACCTAACGATTGTTAGGAAATCTACCTAACAATAGTTAACAATGTATTTAGATAGGCTATAGTTTGATTTACTTATTTTATCAATTTTGAATATTATTTTTGAAACGCTTTCAATAAATAATACTTTAGAGTTTGAACGCTTATTATTTTCGTGAATTTAAAGCTGCCTGTCGTAGCTGTCGCACATGAAATAATGAAATTATGCATAGTATACCATATACCACTATAAAGGCCGCACTTGCTGGACCTTTATAGTGAAAATATAACAAGTATAAGAAGGTATATAAATCAAAAAGGCAACTTTTTAAGGTGAATATTAACTGATCTAATGGCCTAATTGCAATACTCACTGTGTCGTATTTCATTTGAAGTGTTAGAATTTTAACGTATATAATACATTTTATACGGTATTATACGTTTTATACGTAGGATATGTAAGAAACCTTTTGCAGCGCTAAATTTGCCAACCCTGATGCACACACATTGCGGTGGCTGCATTGCATGCTAACATTTCCTAGATTCGCGCGTTGGACCTTTATCGTTCACGTATACACGCGCGATCGCGCGATGGATCTCATTGAATTACGGCTACGCCACTTCGGGTGATAATGACAAAGGTAGCGAGCGGGAGGTTCGGAAATATAATTACGGTGTGGCTTACCGTAGGCCGGGGGATCAGGCCGTTATTACACGCACGGCAGAACTTAACACCTGCGGCGTTGTAAATTCGCCGTTTTCGCGCGCCGCCATTGACAGGTCAATAAATCTAAGAACCCCCGTGGCAATCAGGCGGTTGTTGTATACCACGCTAGCGATATGTGGAGCGGATCAGGAGTGGCGGATGGTAGCAGGTTAAGGGCTATTCACACCACTTGTATCGATTATAAATCGTCGCCTGTCAAGTGGTTTGACCGCCATGGATGTAACATGGAGTTGCTCCTTCAGTGGAGTTACTGCCGACATTAAAATAGTCTAAGAAGTATTATATGTAGCTGATAAAATACGTTCTACGTTATTGATAATTAACCGCGATCTTCTGATATATGAAAAAAATTAATAGAATAATATTTTCAAGAATTAATCGGGAATTAATTTTTAGTGCTTTACAACTTCAATTATATATTGATTTACTTCAGTAATTCTGTATTAAAACTCATAGCTAATGTTGTTTCCTTTATTACTCGTTTCTATCGGTTCTCTATTTGGACATTCTGAATCTACCTTAACACGCGCGCGCTATCGGATGGACGAAAAAGAGGAAGGGACGGATGAGAGGGTGAAATGGTCGAAAGGTGGGGAGCACGGTGGTTGGAGATGGTTGGCAAAAGGGGTAGAGGTAGCTCGACCGCACAGGGGCTGCGTGCTGAATTCATTCCGCTGGACAAGGTTGCCCCACACCCACCACCGCCGTGCCACGTCTGCCTCATCCCTTGGGATAAATTGGTCGAACCCGCGTGTTTGCGGATAACATCGCCGCGATATACGTTCGCCTATAACCGCTACCGTACGAACCTAACCGTCCGCGGTGCCCTTTTTACGACGTGTCTCGGACTCGCGGAAATTGGCAACGAACTGCTCTGTCGTTGTTTGTTTTTCTGGCTGTTTTTTTTTTTTTTTTTTTTTTTTTTTTCCATTTGCGTATATTCTCCACGAAACACGTACGATAAACCAGGCGAACGAACCAATTTACGATACTTGAAAAGCGAGAGGCAAAAAAACAAACAAACTCGAGCACCGGCAATTTTTTGAATTTCGAGGAAACTTATGATCGATTTTGGTCAACATAAAGCGAACGTTTGTCAATTATCACGTTGATCACATAAATTTTTATCTAAAATATGTTATATGTATTGAGTGGGTATTGTCCAAGATCAATTGTTCCTGGTTGCGAGTCTTTGACACGTAGACATATAATAATCTATCATCGATGAATATGCAACAGTTTGAGAGAGGGTGTGAGGCGATAGGGTGCTGGAGAGCGAGTGAAGTAAGCGACAGGGAGTGTCTGCGTTGAGAGGGAAAGGGCAGGGGATCGTCAGTAGGCATGCCAATTACTCTCCCGGTAATTAAATCAACAGCGGAGCTAATCAACGTTACTCCCGGCGTATCTCCATCCCCTATGGAGCCTTCGTTGGAATAAATAAATCGGGTGATTATTTGATATTTGACTAACGATTTCATCCGCTAGAATTTTTATTAGTGCAATTAATAACGGCTGATAATTGTAATCCCGAAAAGAAATTCAAACTATAACAATTGATAAGACTTATGTTCGTTTCTATCAACTAGATTAATCTCAGTTCAATTTTCTTTTTATCTTTTTCTAATTCTCAAAACTAGAGGGAGAGATTAAGAGTAAGTTGGATTGACATTAAAGTTATTAATCATTAATGGAAATGGACATTAGACGTACGAATTGTTGTGCTTTGAAATAAAGGAGAACAGAGAATAAATATTCGTATCAGTATCTTATATCTTTCATTGTTATCTATGATTTACCTACTATGATTTTCATGATAGACACAGCGTATATCTTCTTTTACTTACACAAAAGCCATTAGAGAGGTCTGTCCATACACACGTACGTGAATCGCGCCCAAACGATGTAGACGGCTATTGTATTCTGTGGGTCAGGTGTACATCGTCGTCGTCGAAGAGAGGGCACTCTGTGCCCATTATATTTTATTAACGGACGCGCCTGGCATCGCGATAGATTCGCCTCTGTGAGTCGCGCGGTGTGTTCCTTCGAAATGCAGGACGGGTGCATCGGTCTGACGTGACGCGCGGTTGGCCCCTGTTCGATTAGGAATCTCATTACATTTATTTCCATGAACCCGCTTCTATGCTTCGACAGCTGCAACTATCGCCGATAATGTTTGTGATAACTTGCATTTACCTTATCTTGTACTTATTTTTTTTCGAAAGATCAATTTTAAATATCTAAAAATACCAATAAGTTAGATAAAGTTGAAGAAGTATTCCAATTTTATGAAATAATGTTAGATATTTATAAAACGCAACGAATTATTAATAACGCGTTTGCGGAGGACATCGCTATAATAATTGAGTTCTGCGTCGCTCGCGAATGAAAGCTGTTAGTGAGGATCGCCGGTAACATTATATAGTGGCCGGTGTTTGGCCTCCGTGTATTTATCTCGTGGTATCTCCCGGTTTAATAACGCCAGGCAATCAGGAGGTATACCTCGTTCGTCCGTTCTGTGCATTCGTACACCGGGGCTCTCGTCGATTCTGCTTGCCTCTCCGTGCCGATAAATAATAACCATTTGTATCGGATTCTAATTACTTGCTCTAAGCAAACAAATAAACGGCGGGAGATGAGACGTGCCGTGAGAGAGGAGGTGGGCTTAATGTTATGGTGGCTGCGGGCTGATTTAAGGAGTGTGGGACCGCCCACCTCGAAGATGTATCTTCGTGCCGAGTATCGGTCCACCTGTTATGAGTGTTTCAACGCCACTGTGCACCCTTTCTCTTTTTTTTCTTCCCTGTTTTGTTTTGCCTCGCCACTGTTGCGTATCCCTCATCGGTCGAGAAAAATTTCGATACCGCACGAACATGTCGAGAACATGTCGAACGACAAGCGATTATGCACGGGAATCACGACGACAGCTGGAAATAATTCGCGCGTATGGACTACCCGAGCGAATTACCAGTGCGAAGTTCTTCCATTTGCGTCCGATAAATTACGAATATCGCCCTGAGGACTGCTCTTTAAGTGGCGCATATCCTTTCGTTGGGGCAGCGCGGCAAACGTGGGAAGGAATTCGCTTTCAGAGGCGACTCCACGGGGCGATCCTTTCTCGCGATGACGGCCATGATCGATAAGAGGCAGCGCGAGAGGAGAGAAACGCGTTTTCGCTTAAAAGGTCCTCAAAAAAGGTCGACGGTAGTTCGTTACCGGTGGGCTATTAGCGGGCGTAACGCACATCGTAGGAGCGTCGAAGGACTAAGTAAACCCAGACTAACAAGGAGGCGTATCCAACGGCCACGAATGATCTACCGATCCGAAGTTGGCATTATTCCGCTCTTACCCTCTCCGTCTC